AGGTCAGCACACATGTTAAAGGATCTATAGGCCGGGACACATGTTAAAGGATCTATAGGCCAGGACACATGTTAAAGGATCTATAGGTCAGGACACATGTTAAAGGATCATAGTACACATGTTAAAGGATCTATAGGTCAGCACACATGTTAAAGGATCTATAGGCCGGGACACATGTTAAAGGATCTATAGGTCGGGACACATGTTAAAGGATCTATAGGCCGGGACACATGTTAAAGGATCTATAGGTCAGGCCAGGACACGTGTTAAAGTTGTCAGGGTTCCATGTTCTGTGCGCTGCTTATTCTCTTCCACAGGCGGTTGTTGTTGACAGGTGGGCATGGCCCCGCACCTGCGGCTCATTGAGGCTGCTCTGCTGAGCTTAAGTGGAGCTTTCAGTCAGCTGAAGGACACCAGAGTGTTAAACCGTTGTGGTACGCCTAGGCCTCTGTCCACTCCAGAGATCTCTGAAACCTGATGTTTGGATTCCTGATTCTAACATGTCTCCTGTCCCCCTCATTTTGTTGAGTTTTGGATTGCTAACCCGCCTGTCTCCGCTTTGAAGACTGGTCTCTGTATCCCTGCTGCTCAGATTCTGCTCTGGCTTTCCCCTCGAGCCCCCTCTGTACTACCAAGCCGGAAAAGAGACCTTTCCTGGATTCACACTGGTTCCTTCGGCTGCTCTTTGAACCTGCCTCCCCTGCGGTACTGCTCGGGCCCCCGCTTAAGTTCCACCTGTTGCTCAGTCACCTCCTCCAATCGGAAAGCTGTGAGTTACAGAACCCATTCCTCCACTCACCGTACCTGGCTGTAAGCAGAGCAGCAACAGCGCAGGTTTTGTTGCTTTTCTTAGTCTTAATCAGTTTCCTCTTTCATCCCGTAGAACTCCAAACTCTGACGTTCCGAACCTCTTTTTTGTGTGTAGTCTAATAAACATCTCAAACTGCTCCTTGTTTCCCTCATCTGTGTCTGTATGTGGGTCTAACATCTTAAAACCATGACAGAAGAATCCATAGTTCAGGACATGGGTTAAAGTACCCATAGGGACACATGTTAAAGTATCCATAGGTCAGGACATGGGTTAAAGTACCAACGGAGCAAAAAGTAGTGATCATCTGCCTGAACGGTCAGTTAACTGAGTTCACTATAAAGTTCACTACATATTCCCCGCTCTATAGTGATGGAGGGATTTAGGGGTTAGGGCGGACAGTCGGACACAGTGAGCTTGGATTAGCTATGAGAACAGCAACTTTTAAACAGAGCGTGCACGAGGAGAAATGCGCTTGTGCGTGCTCGTGCACGCTCTGGCACGTGTTTAATAGGCTTTCCCTCTCAGGAGCGGGTACAGGGTTGTGCAAATGATTTTCTTTTGAAGTGGGGATGGAGGGTCTTTTAAAAATTCATGAAAATCCTCCACTGTACCTTTAAATTTATTTTTTTGCAGTCTTTCCTTGTCTGTGTGTCAATCTGGCTCCATGTATAAGTAATTATTCAATCATTAAAGAGATTTTGGTGTAAAGAATGCATAGCTAAGTAAATAGTTTGTTCTGTCATATATATATTTTTTTAGAAAACCCCAAATCTGAATTTATTGTTTGGGGCAGATGCAGCGAGGGTAAGTGGATGTGAAGCAGTCAGACTGTGTCTCTGGAGAATCTTCTCAGGGGGGAAAACGAGCAGGCAAACGGTGGTGGAAAGAAATAATAACTTTATGGTGGTTGCACTGGAGTCTCATACAGCACCGGGTCTCTGGCTTCAGGCATCAGAGGGTTCAGTTAAATCTCAACAGTTTGTCATCACCGTCTGTCTTTGGTAGCTTACCTTTCTTTTCTTTTCCCTCCTCCTCTACGTCTCCTGCACCAAGCAGGGTGAAGATGATGCCCGTCTGTGAGTTGACGCCTACGGCTGTTACCAGCATCCTGCCTGAGCCCTCCATCACATGGGTACCTTAACAGCCAAACACATCCTGTTAGCTTTGCTTCATAGGCTGAGATGTTTGAGAAGTTCTATGCAGGTTGGTTTAATTGGAAACGTGGAGCATCAGCAGAGAGGACAGTGAGGACTGACTGTCCCTCCATCCATGACCTGTGCAAAAATAAATAATTAGCACCTCCATCCTGGTCTGTGGTGATGTTAGACCAACACATATAAAAGGAAGGAAATGATCCACGGTTTCAGCTTGATGGAACTACCTTTAATAAAAACATCCACCCTTACTTTGCTTTTTAATAACTGCTTTGCAGATCTAGAGACTGAAATTATTCCTTAATCTTTTTACTAAAACAGCTCAAGCCCAGGCTGATTGGACGGAATATGTCATTCCAATCCAGCTCTTGTTTGGGATCATATTCCTGCTGGAGGATCATTCTTTAGTTATTATTTTATAACCCCTCCATAGTTACCAGGAGCTCCTCAGCTGCTTCTCTGATTAACGCTCTGCTCACCAGTTATGGTAATCTGCCGTGTCTTGATAGGTTTGCAGTTGTGATGTTTTTATTGTCAGATGTTGGATTGTTCCACTCTCAGGGAGATTTTTAAAGCCGGGATGTTTTTAGAACCTAACCAGGCTTTAAATGCCTCCACAACCTTCTCCATGCCTGTTTTCTGTGTTCCTCTGTCTTTGTGGGGTTTTTATTCCTTAAACCTCTCTGAGGCCTTTATAGAGCAACTGGATTTATACCCTGACTAAAAGCTGGGCTTGAGTCACGCATTAGGTCATGGTTCCCCTCTTTGGGGATACTGAGTTTTTAGTTTTCAGTTCTCACTTATTCTGTTATGTTGATAATTGGTTTATTTTCCATTATATTCCAGCAGTCTTGAATTACTCTCTGCTGCCCCCTTGTGTTTGTTTCCTTTCCCCTTGGCTTCCTTCTAGTTAGTTCCACTCACACCTGCTCCATATTCAGCTCATTAGTCCATCGTTCTGTTCCCCTTATATACTCCACCTCTGCAGTCACTCAGGGCTGGTTCCTTGCTGTTGTTTTGCTGTTTCCTCATCTCTGGCTCCCCATGTTATTTTTCTCCTGATGTTTTCTGCTTTTTGTTTTTTGGTTCCTTGTATTTTTGTATCAGTTAACTTATTAAATCTGCAAGACTCACCTCTGCCTCCTGATCTCTGCATTTGGGTCGTCCAAAACCATCCCACCCCACCGTGACCCATTAGGTTACCTCTGGCACCACTGGGTGTTATTCAGTAAAGGGACTTCATACAGACGGTCACTACAGTTTTCAGAAAGTTTTTCTAAGAAAGTTAGAATTGCTACACATGTTCTCTTCACCTCTGGAACCTCTTTAAATGTGGAATGAACCATAAATCCTAATCTAAACCTCTTGAAATCATTTGTCAAGATAAGGTTGATAAATAAAAACAAAAAACAAAAATAGTTTCAGCATGATGTTCGAATGTTTTTAAAACAGCAGAAAAATGTTATAAACTAACTAGAGGCAGACTCTGGGTTGGATTTATAGTCCTTTGCAACTGACTGCTGCTGTTGGTGAGACCTGTTTCTGGTTCTGCTGGAGGTTCCTTCCTGTTCAAAGGGAGTTTTTCCTCTCCACTGTCGCTAAAAGCATGCTTAGGGTGAGGGATTGCTGAAGAGTCAATGAGTCGATGCAATCAGCTGGTTCAATCTGACAGGATGATCTGGTTGAATTGGATCTATAAAGTGACCTGAGATGACATGATGTGAATTGGAGCTATAGAAATAAACTGAATAGAACTGAATTGAATCAGATGAATGTTGGCTGATATTAACATTTTCTAAATGTGACGAGCTTTTCTCATTCAGTGACTAAAATCCCAGTGACTAAGGACACAGTGTGAATTCCACTGAGGAGAAAGGGCTGTCCGATGGAACCGGCAGGTCTGTCGGGGAGATAATGATCCTCTTGGATCAGATCAGGGAATAAATGGGATATATTATATGGAGATTTCCCTCTCAGACTTGTAGCCCTTTTCAGAATTTATTAGTGTGTCACAGATAAAATCTCCTTGCAGGGATCTGCTGCTGATTTAAGGCGTGACAACTGATTTATCTTCAAAATTGGGGGAACAATCTTCTTCCTTCCAGTTACCTGAAACATCAACAGGTCTGACATGAAGAGCAAAGTCTCCAGCACACTGAGAGAAAACTGAAGGGAGGGTTTTCTGGTTTTATGGTTCTGTGAGAGCAGAGCAGGGATGTTAAAGCTACCTGAATCTGATCTGCAGATCTCATTAACTCCTGACCAGCATGCTCACCAATAACCCATACCAACACCTTCCAAGTGGACAATCTATAGGATTTTATCTGATAAAACGTTTATTTGCAACTCTGCTTTTTAAAACAAGCAAATCCTCATTAAAAAACTAGCAGATTTTAAGACGTAAAACGTGGAATAAATAAATGATAACAGAGGAAAAGTGATCTCCAAATGAAATGGAACTGACCTGAGAGCAGCATGGGGTCCTTGTCCACAGATTTGCGGACATGGTCAGACTCTCCTGTCAGGGAGCTTTCGTCGATCTTCAGGTCGTTGGCTTGGACCAAGATACCGTCAGCAGGAAGAAGGTCACCTGAAGCAAAAATCACTGTTACTTCCTGTTAGGTAGTGACGCCTTTACATCCTGAAGGAATCAGCAGCAAATCTAAAGACTAAATAATAAAAGAGGAAACAGGTTAATAAACTATTAAATGTACAGTAGGATAAAGGTAAATATAAATTCAAATATAAACTCATTCTTCACGGATATAAGGTAACTAAGTATTATTTTATAGTGATACAAACGCACGAATAAAAGGTGATTAAACATGAATATTCTGTTTTTTAATATTCTTTAATCTATAATTCAAGTTTTAAAGTTGAACGTTTAATGAAACAGAAAGAGCTGGTTATTGTGAAGCAAATGGTGACGAGTTTTTAGAACGATCAGAATTAAAATTAAAAGCTTTTCCAGATTAAAATGAAAAAAAACTCTTTGGTGCGAAAACACTTACTGAGTGAAACGACTAAAAGTTTTCAAAGTATTTAAAAAAAGTTTTAACCTTTTTTGCCAACATGTTTAGGCAGCTATGCTGTTTATTGTGAGACTTTCAGCTGATAACAGGAAACTAAACTTTGCAGATTATTGAGCCTGATGTTTTAGTGATGCTACAGATGCTAACATACTGAACAAACATGCTAACAGTAGGGGTGTGGGAAATAATCGTTTTGGCGATATATCGTGATATTCGGCTGCCCAATATAATATCAATCTTTCAATTCTTAGTATCAATTTAAAAAAAAAAAGTGTTTACATAAAACATTGATGGGAAAATGGGCTACCTCTGCACCGCCACTCTGGCAGAAAGCGCTGTGAAACCCTTTAACTGTGCGTGCAGCACCAAATCTGTATTTGAGGCAGTCACAGTGGAAGAAAACCCCAAACAACATGGATAATAATACCTAATCAATATTTTCTGATGAAAATATACAGCACTTGCTGTTTTTTCTCATCATTTGATTTTGATAGCTGGGGAAAATATGACAATATATAGTGATACTGCAATATCGTGATAATATCGCATCGTGACCCAAGTATCGCGACATGTATCGAATCGCAACACTCATGCCAATACTCACCTCTAGTTAACAGCTACCATAAAATCATGCTAAACCCTGCCATTAAAAATATGTTAATGGTTACAATAAAATAGACCAATATTGATTTGGTACATATTTATAATGAGGACAGAAATCGTTTGTTATTTGCAGTGTTTACTAAAGTGCTTTGAGTCGTGATCTGGATGTATTTCTGGTCGTACGTTGAGAAATGAGGCGACAGTGTTTCCTGTAGAGATCAGGTCATGATACTAAACCCAACCTACAAACATGTTAATAACTAGAGACGGATCAATACATCGTTTTTTTTTTCTTGGTTGGACATAACCGATACATTCATGTGATTAGACCATTAAGTTCATTTATTGCTGCTCCCTCCCTCTGCTATGCAGTGTGGATATATTTCCTGAATTTGTTAATAAATGTTTCTTTGTTTAAACTTTGACATGTGAAACTATTATTGAAGATCATTTTAAGTGTGTTTATCAGAATAAATGGAGCGGACCAATAAAACATGATAGTAATGGTTGTAGCCTTATTGGTTGAGTGAAATCCTGCTTTATGCTAACAGACATCCTACTTTAGCAGAGTTATTCTGAATGAGGCAAGCTGAGCTGAATAGAAGGGGCGACGGTGGCGTCGGATGAAGGAGTTCACCCTTAAATCAAAGGGTTGTCGGTTCAATCCCCGGCTCTTGAGTGTCTGTGGCTCCTTGGGCACTTCACCCACATCGCCTGATGGTGGTGCCGCCAGCGCACAGCAGCCTGGCTCCTGTCAGTGAGCCCCAGAGCAGCTGTGGCTACAATGCAGCGCACCACCATCGGTGAATTGATGAATGGGTTAATGTAGTCACATGATTATATAAATACAGGTCGTTAAGCATAGGTGCAAACTAACGTCAACATGACATATTTCTGCCTTGAGTTGCTGAACGCCTGTCTCTATCAACCAATCAGCTGGTTTATACCAAACATTTGTTATTCTGTTTACTTAGGTCCACATTAAAAGTACAATCTGATTATTTTTTAGTATTATTTTTAGTTTTTAGTTTAATCCAAATGCAATTTAATCATAGAGTGAAATTGTGTGTTTTTGATAGTCTTTGCTCACCCATCCAAATGATAGGAACCGATTATTCCATGGCTTCGGTTGATCAAATGAAGCACCTAGGCAGCTAGACTGTTTTTATGAGCATTTATGAAAGAGTCTCACTCTCAAGAGTTCCATGAACTCCAGCATAAGTTTCTGATAGGATGCCACCTCTGTAACTAATGGTGAAATGTCTGCAGTCAATCACACTTCCAAACTTCCTATGGCCTTCAGATTAGCTCCACGACAGTGTGCAGTAGAGACTGACATTTCTTCGGGAATCCCACGGGTCACGTGATTCCCGTGGGATGGGAGTCACTATTAGTAACAATCACGTGATTGGAACGGTACAGGATTAAACATTAACAGGAGCAGACGGGAGCGGGAGCAAACCAATAGTAACTAAAAAAACTAGGATCGATGCCAAAAAATAAAATAAAATAGAAAGAAAAAAAAAACAGTACTGGCACCACCATTTTGTAGATTTTTTCCTTGAAGCCTACACTATAATGCGAGTCAAAAAAACTACACGACCCAAAAACCAACAGTGCTTCCGCTGTGAGTTTTTCACCCGCGCTCAAAAAAACAATAACAAGAATGGGAGTGGTGCAGGAGCGGGAGTCATTCTGAATGGGAGTGGGATGGGATTGGGAGTAATTTCACCAGGAGTGGGATGGGACAGGATTTAGATTTCTACTCTGGCCTGGGATCGGGACGGGACAGGAGTGAAAATCCACTCCCGTGTCAGTCTCTAGTGTGCAGAGAGCTTTGAGGAGTGAATTTCCATGGTTGAGAAGCTGCATCCAAGCTGCATCGGATGCAGGGCTGCATGGTGCCGCTGGACTTTAGAGCAATGGAAATGAATTCTCTGGAGAAATTAGACAGGCTGGGTCTGAGCCAGGACAACCATCAAAACCAGACGCACAGGCTGCGTCCAACCATCCGTCCTGATCTTTTTATAGTGGTTACACCATTTTGAATGAGCGTCTGAATGTCGAATGGATGAAAATGTAGTGGACTCAAAATTTCCCAAAATGCACCTTCAAAAAAAGTGATCATCTATGGTCACTGGACAAGCAGGTATATCCCAGAATGCCGTGTGAGGAGAGCTCTCCTTGCAAAGCATCATGGGATTTGGTTGTCAAAGAACAAGATGGTGCAGGCACAGTGTCCATAAAGACATGGACAGAAGAGTCTGGTGTGGACCTCAAACCCAATGAAGATCAATTAGGAGTAGAGACTGAGAGTTAGGCTTCTGTCCAACATGTGACCTCACAAATGTGCTTCTGGAAAAATGGTTAAAACATTTCCAAACTCCTAATCCTTGAGGACAGCCTTCCAAGAGGAGTTGAAGCTACAAATGCTGACAGATATCATACTGAAGCCCTTTGGATTAGGAATGGGATGTTACTACAGCTCATCTGTGAGTGAAGATAGGTGAGCAACTTCCTCTGGCAATATAGGGCATTACAGCAGATAATACAAACTCAGACATTAGCATTTCACTAACATAAAGATCCATTTTCATTTGTTGTGTGGAATGATGCAGATGGGGAGGTTTTCCCTACCGTATTTGACCTGAGCCATGTCTCCCACCACCATGTCGGCCACCGGAATCTGGATGACGTTTCCTTTCCGAACCACTGCAAACCTTTGTTCCTGCTCAATCCGACTCTGCAGACCTCGAAATTGTTTTTCTTTGGACCAGTCGTTAAACGCCGTCACCAGGACAACACATACAACAGAAAGCAAGATGGCCGCGCCCTCGATCCAGCCTGCGTCAGCCTCCCCTTCATCCTCTGCTCCAGAACTGACTTCCCCACACACTGAAGAGAAGACATGGAGATTAACCAGGTTACAGGCGTCAATCAAACCTCGTTACTTCATTTATCAGTTACAAAAATGGGGGGGTAATGCAAAATTCTGTTACACAGCAAAGTTAAACAGAATAATTTAACTTTTGAAGTGTTGGTTTTGCAATTTGAAGGAGATTGTAGTTTATATCATTTGCTTTAGCTGCACAAAAATGAAATTGTAAGCATAAGAGGGTTTCAATAAAAAAAGTTTGGAAACCACCTGAATTCAAGCCTATTTAATCTTTAATAATGAGTGTTTAGTTAATATGTGGATTTTACAAGCCGACTTCTTAAAGAGGTGGATACGTGTTGTTAGCAGATTTTGGCTAAGTTCACACTGCAGGCCTTGATGCTCAATTTTGATTTTTTTGTGAAATCCGATTTTTTTTTTTTTGCGCTGCCGTTCATATTTCCAAATATATGCGACTTCTATGTGATCTCCTGTGCGAACTGCAGTCATACAACACAAGTGTCCCGCATGCGCAGTAAAGGACGCAGTGATGTCACAGGCCAGCGAGCTCCATGTTTACGGAAGTAAACACGGACGGTAGATGCCGGCGCGCATCTAGTAATCTCTTCCAACCATAAAAATTCAAACTTTTAAACATGGTTAAACATAAATACTGCTCTCCGAAACATCATCTGCCATTGTTGTTGTTTTTCTAGCAGCTTCTGCGTAGCAAGACGCAGAATAGTGACCTTTGTCGGTTATTAATGGCGTTCAGGTCAGATGAATCCGACCTGGCCAATCAGACACAGGTCGCGTTTGAAAAAATCAGATTCGTATCGGATTCAGGACCACATAGCCAAGTGGCCTGGGTCGCATTGGAAAAAATCAGATCTGTGTTGTTCAGACTGCCATAAAAAGATCAGATCCAGGTCGCATATGGGCCAAAAAATCAGATTTGGGTCACTTCAGGCTTCAGTGTGAATGTAGCCATATTTGTCATGATCTGCTCTGATAGCTGGCCTTCATTGCTAATTTCACTCACCTGCCCAGTTCTGCCCAGTTCTCTGATCTCATCCACCTGTTGGTTCTGCTTTATATTCAGTCCTGCCCAGCTATCAGGGCCAAATCATTGTTTGCTTTCTGTTTGTTCCCCGTTTGATTTCTGTTAGCGTCCTGTCCTTCAGTTTTAGTTATTTTTCAAGGTCCCTGTTCCAGTAAGAGTTTATTCTCAACCCAGTGTCTTCAAGCTAGTTTTAATCATGTACCAGCGGTGGGAGCGTTTCAGCATTTCCAGGGTGATTGTGTTTTCCTGATTCCGTTCCCTCTCACCCACTGGCCCTGCTGGTCTGTTAGCCTGAACCTCTGTTGGACTCCTGCTGGATTCAGCATGTCTGTGCGTTTCTGTTTGAACTGGATGCTCGACACACGGGACTCTGAACCTGCCTTCACTCTCTAATGGATTCCTGGAACTTGGATCTGTGAGTTCCTGAGTGGACCGTACTGTTAAACCAGAATCAGTGATGGGTTGGGCTCCACATCTGCAGTCACTGCGGTCGCAGTTCCACAGCAGCACGCTTCTGTTCTCTCTGTTTTTGTTTCAATAAACGCTTTGAACTTTCCTACTGCCTGTCTCACCTTGAATACTGGGTCCATCTGTCCCGTTTTTTTGACAATAATGTGATTTATTCAGTGCATGAACTCATTGCATTTCGTTATCATCTGAACGTGGAATAAGAAGTTAGAGTTAAATTTGAAGTTGATTTACTTCAACCAAAAATATTTTATTTAAAGGAATAAATACGAAGTATAAAAGATTTTTTAAAAATCTATTTATGCATATATTTATAAAACTGGCATGTTTTAAATTATTTATGGTTATCTGTGGCTGGATCTACTTAAGTTTGGCTATTATGTAGTAAAAACTCTGCATGAATATACAATAAATATCTAAATATTTGTTAAATCCTGATTCACCACCCATCCATGATCTTGCATCAGGAAGCTGATCCGTGTCTGTAGGCACTTCCTGGGTTTACTGGTGAGAATGTGATGCTTTTCACCCAACAAAATGTTTTCCTGTTACTTTCTCTCTCAATGTCATGGCAACCGCACAGAGGACACAAAGAGTTTTTTCAACAGTTTCCTAAAATAGGAGAACTGTTTAGAGTTTCAGAAACTGTTTTAAGCTTAAACTTAACATTTTAAATGCATAGATTATCTTCATGCAGATTATTGACCGGTTAGCTGCAGCTTGCATGTGCAGCGTTAGCCAGTGTACACCCTGAGGTTTAAGACTGAACCACATCGTCCCACATCTGCATCCTCTGTTTGCTCAGGCCACTTCCTTTCCACTAAAACGCCACAGCTCAACCTTTCTTTCTTTTCAGGCTTTTTAACATGATTACATTTTTCTTATTATTACCATAAAAACATAAGGTATTAAGCAACTTAATAAAACTAATCTTGAGACAAATGCTTGAGTCTGGCTTTATTCCATTCAGTAGGTTTGCTTTATCTGCATCAGTGTTTAACCAATGAGTGGGTTAGACAGGCAGCACAATGATTATGCAGTCAGAGAGATAATTTTACAATAATTTGCAGAGAAAATGTCTTTTTCCTGTTGCTTTTATTGTGAAAGCGTATCTCCACATCTATGGCCTGTTCGGTTTAGTAGGTATAACTCACTGCTTTATTCTTATCTCACAAGATTCAGACTAAACTCTAAGAAAAGGAGAGACTTTTTTTCTGAGTCAAAGATTTAGTCAGAGTTACAAAAGTTCTTGAAAGAATCCAAAACTGTGACAAATTTTGAAAATGGATGCTGCTTTTGATCGATAAAGAGAGTAAATGCGTGTCAATCATGAGAGAATACAAGATGAATGTCTTAGAGATAAATAAAAAGTAGATAAAACTGTTCTTGGCTGTCGTCAGATAGTTGTCTAGTTTGTGTAAAGTTTATTCATAATCTGGTTGTGACTCTTGGAAACATCCAGCCGGTCTGGGCCAGAAGTCAGCAGCATATAACAGCCTGTGTATAAAGGTGAGTCAGCAGCCAGGCTCAGACCTGGAGGTGGGAACCGGACCTAAAGCACTGGAGTAGGGTCCGCTCCAATCATCTCACTTTCACATAAGTCTAGCTTTAATCTTGTCAGGCTTCTGTGTTCTATGCTCTGCTTACTCTCTTCCACAGGCGGTTGTTGTTGACAGGTGGGCGTGGCCCCGCACCTGCGGCTCATTAAGGCTGCTCTGCTGAGCTTAAGAGGAGCGTTCAGTCAGCTTAAGGACGCCAGAGTGTTCAAACGTTGTGGTACGCTTAGACCTCTGTCCTGTCGACAGATCTCTGAAACCTGATGTTTGGATTCCTGATTCTAACCTGTCTCCTGTCCCACCGTCAGTTCGTTGAGCTCAGGATTGCTCACCCGTCAGTCTCCGTGCTTTGAAGACTGGTCTCTGTTGCCCTCGGTACTACCGAGCCGGACAAGAGACCCCTTTCCTGGATTCACACTGGTTCCTTCAGCTGCTCCTCGAACCTGCCTCCCCTGTAATACTGCTCGGCCCCCGCCTAAGTCCCACCTGTCGCTCAGCCACCTCCTCCCATCAGAAAGCTCTGAGTTACGGAACCCATTCCTCCACTCACCCTCCCCGGATAGGTACAGACAGGTCCGTACCTGGCGTACAGCGCAGGTTTCTTTAATTTTTCTTAGTCTTAATCAGTTTCCCCTTCCCCTCTCGTAGAACCCCAAACTCTAACGTTCCCAACCTCACCTGCGGATCCCGTTCTTATTTTTTGTGTAGTCTAATAAACAACTTAAACTGCTCCTGTTTTCCCCCATCTGTGTCTGCATGTGGGTCAAACCATGACAGTAGAACACTCTGGCCAGCAGACACTTTCGGTGGGCAGCTTGCTGCCCAGGAGAAGCAGTTGCAGAGTCTAGGGTTAGCCGTAAACGCAGCAAAGGGACAAATGCAAGTTATGTCTGATCGACTTAACCAACTTACCGCTGCGTTAACCTCTGCTTCTATTCCGCCCGCTTCCGCTTCTACCAGTGTTCCGCCTCCTAGTGGCTGTCAATCCGGTTCATCTGATCAATCTCCCTTTTGGGCTGTGTAACACCCCTTCTGTTTTTCAGGCCCTCGTGAACAATGTACTACGGGACTTCGTTAATATTTTAGTTTACTCCCGTGATCCAGTCCAACACCAACATCATGTCCCTCAGGTTTTGCAACGCTTGCTCAAGAAACACCTGTTTGTGAAAGCTGAGAAATGAGAGTTTCATAAGTCCTCAGTCTCTTTCCTCTGACTCATCCAAGAAGGCGGACAAGTTAGGTCAGACCCCAGTAAGATCAAAGCCATAGTTGACGATCGACCCCGGAGCCCAGAAAGCATCTGCAGCGATTTTTAGGGTTTGCAAACTTCTACAGGAGGTTTATTCAGGGTTACAGCCAAATCGCGTCTCCTCTTCACGCCCTAACTTCACCTAAGATTCCTCTTGTTTGGAGTCCAGAAGCTAAGAACCTCTTTAAGGAACAGAAGACTAGGTTCTCTCAGGCCCCTATTCTAGTTCATCCCAAACAGATTAAAACAGTTTATCTTAGAGATTGATGCCTCTGATACAGGTGTTGGAGCAGTCTTATCTCAGCAGTCTGAGTCTGATCAGAAGCTCCATCCGTGTGCCTTTTTCCCCCGTCGGCTGTCTCCAGCCGAACGTAACTATGATGTTGGGGATCAAGAACTGTTAGCAATCAAATTAGCTTTGGAGGAGTGGCAACATTGTCTGTGGGGTTCTGAGCAGCCCATAGCCATCTGGACGGACCATAAAAACCTCTCTTACCTGCAGTCTGCCCGACCTCTGAACCCCCGACAAGCCAGCTGGTCCCCCTTCTCCTCTTGCTTCAATCTGTCTATTACCTACCGTCCAAAACATCAGGTAGAGATCTCTGTACCTGATGTTTTGGATTCCTGATTCCTGATTCTGCTCTGTCGTTCCCCTCAAGCCCCCTCAGTACTACCGAGCGAGACAAGATACCCCTTTCCTGGATTCACACTGGTTCCTTCAGCTGCTCCTCAAACTTGCCTCCCCTGTGATACTGCTCGGGCCCCCACCTAAAGGGCTGGTTATACTCCTGCAGCAGTTTGTCGCAATGAGCTTGACACAGACATTTTTGATTTATGTTCGAGTTTGAAGCGTGGTCTACGCCACGCCACAACGCAAGAGGTACAATCACAAACTATCTATAGATAAGCCCAAGGCGGTGAGAAAGTGGGGGTAAGTTTGTGCAACAACGGAGGAACATGAGGGCAAAAAAGAACAGGGATCCAGGTTGAAAAAGGGTCCCAGCGTTCTTGCGCACCTCACTCTTCTAGATGGTCCATCTTCATGAGTTGTTCTCCGCAACTGCGGTCATACAATCAAGACAAGCCGGCAAGCTGTGAGTTACCATTCCTCCACTCACCCTCCCCGGATAGGTTATCTGTACCTGGCGGTAAGCAGAGCAGCAACAGCGCAGGTTTCTTTAGTTTTTTCTAGTCTTAATCAGTTTCCTCTTTCCTCCCACAGATCCCCGGACTCTGACGTTCCAAACCTCTTATTTGTGTGTAGTCTAATAAACATTTTAAACTGCTCCCTGTTTCCCCGTCTGTGTCTGCATGTGGGTCTAACACACTAAAACCATGACAATTTTTAGATTTCTCTTTTCTCTAAATTTGAAATCTGACATATTTGCATCTAGAACAGCTGATGGTTGAATTTGAACACATTGATAACTGTAACTGAGCTGAATATTTTCTTTTTCTTTTTATAAAAACATAATAGACGTCAGAAATCTCCCTCACTGAGCTTCTCTTAATTCATCTGTGAACAAATACTGTGCTGCTGGCCGCTCATAATCTCTTTTATGCTGACTACTGTCCACTATTTAACACTTAACTATTTTCTCAGAAGCCTGTTTGGATGTTGTTCTTTACTGCAGCGTTTTTTTCCTCCTGGGAATCATTAGTAGGGCTTTATTTTCAATTTCACTTTCTCGCATCCCCATCAAACTATCCCCTCTGCCTGTTTCCTCACATTCGCTTTCCTTCCCCGGCGGCTGGTAGAAGGAGAGACCGAGGGAAATGATGGCAGCGGCCTCCAAGATGATGAGGGTGACGTCCTGCAGAGCCTCCCACACCAGCTCCAGGAACGTCTTCGGCTTCTTTGGGGGAATGAAGTTCCGGCCAAAAGCTTGATATCGACGTTCCAGGTCTGCTGGGTCACCGCTGACACCTGAAGGATAAAGATGGAGATAAAATTAATGAAAAGATGAAATCCAGCATGATGGACGGATAGACGGATGGACGTATTTGCTAAGATTACAATAGAAATATGATCAAAAGCTGGTTTTCTAGAACTAGAGTGAACAGATTAGGCTCCATCATCAACATAATAATGTAACACGGTCTGGGCGTCTATTATAAATACTGAAGTAAATATGAAGCAACTTATTTCAATTCTACTGGAATCTCTATGGTGACGCATTTATAACCACTTAGTTAGAAGCTTCAAAAAAAATATGACTTAAAAATCAAGATAAAAAAAGGATGGGGTTTGATGCCTGAAATATCTGATAATGTTGCTTTTGCTCCTTTAGACAGAAAATGGACAGATTTAAATGATAGGATTATAAACATTTTCTGGAGCCCACCTAGAAGTGACTCCTGAGCTCAGTATTTTCTGGGCCCTGCGTACATCCCTCTGGTTTTCTGTCAGACTGATCACACTTAGCGTGGTTCTGCTGGAGGTTTCTTCCTGTTCAAAGGGAGTTTTTCCTCTCCACTGTCACTACAAGCATGCTTAGTATAAGGGATTGCTGAAGAGTCACTGAGTTGAGGCAATCAGCTGGTTTACCTTAGATAGAAAACTTTGAACCAATTTGACTGGATGATCTGGTTGAATCGTCTCTATAAAGTGACCTGAGATGTCATGATGTGAAATGGAGCTATATAAATAAACTGAATAGAATTGAATTAAATCAGATAAATATTGGCTGATTTAAACATTTTCTATATGTGACAAGCTCTTCTCATTCAGTGACAAAATCCCATTTTTAGTCTCAATAAGGACACAGTGTATGCATTCCACTGAGCCTCTGAGTCCTGAATCGGACTGAATCTGAATGAGCA